CTTCCTCTATATGTTTATTAACTTTTGTGTTTTTTCAAATATCACTTGGCGTTGCGTGAAATACCTAGTTAGTTTAATTAACTCCAGATTATAGACTCTTTAATACAGAAAAGGGATGAATTTGGTGCTTCTCCGTTTGGGATGAGGCAAGCGGACTTGAAAAAGTCCTTCAAGCTTGCTATGCGCTCTCTTCTCACCGCCTCTTCTAAGGAGGTATTTTTGTTACTTCATGAAAATCTCGATAATTTTACTGGTATTTTGAATTTGGATTTTGTACAAAATACTTTCAATTTTGTTTTACTCGAAAGTTTGAGATTTGGGTCATCTCTAAATTTCATCCAAAATCGTGCCAAGAAAGATCAGATATTTAGTAACGAATTTATGCAGACAATGTGCTTGTATATATGTCAAATGTTTCTTCTATAATCCAATGCCTTCTTACACAATGGTATTTAGCTATGTTGGTTAAAGTTAGTTTAGTTTTGCATTTAAGTTTGTTTGAAAGTATTTATGTTTCTGTATATGAATCTAAAGGATATTTGCAAGGCACTTCCAAGTTTTACTTCTCCTGAGCACGAGTATCTCCTTCAGCTATTTATTCAGGTATTGACTATTGCCCGAAATTTTATTGTATGCAGTAGACAATATCTTATGTAGATCTTTTTTAGGCCTAAACTATCATTTATAGACTAACTTTACTTAAGTCAAGTTAGTCAACCTAATTTATTGAAGATTGTTTTTAAAATTTTGTGAAACGAAAATGATACAAGAATGCCCCATAAACTATTGGGGGAAAGATAGTGAAATTCAAACAACTCAAAGGAAAGGATCCTTTGGATCCTTTGTTTTAAGTGACGCTAACAAAGAGGTCTTGAAGTAGTTCGATGGCTGAACGGTTTTATGATAGGCATGGAAGGATTGTAAGGGATTTCCCTCATAAGCTCTTTTATTTTTATAGAAATGATGCAGAGAAGGCTGTTGTAAGAGAAAAGTAATGGTGGTTGAAAGGCATTCTAAAAAGAATGAGTCGGCTTTCATAAGACTTTTGGTCTCTAATAACATTTTTGGTCTCTAAGGGTTGTTATTGTCTGAAGGTCACGTTGTCTGGTTTTCTGAATTAGGTAAACCTTTGTGCATTGGATACTTTGTCCCAACATCATAGTGGAGATATTCGAAACATGTGTTTGTTGTACTTAACTAAGGTCAGAGTTAATGTTTTTCTTTCATTTATCTTGGTTCGTGAAAAGTTGCATTGTCTTCTTATGTGCCAATACTCAGGTTTTAACTATAGAGTTCTTTCACTGTTTAGAAGAATAATGTTTTATTTCATTGCAAAAATTTTATAAGTTTTGTTAACCTTGAGTTAATTTTAATATGCTCGATTCTATTGGTACCGAATTTCCAGGTTGCCACTTCTTTGCATGGAAACATAGAGGTACCTTTTCTGACAAACTTGAATGGGCTCAACTACAGACTTAACAATGTTGCATAATTTTTTGTTTCTTGGAATAGATTTCCTTAAACGTTGTGGGATATGCTGGCATAAAATTGATACAATTAGCTACAATCTGAATCTCATTTGTCTTTGTTGAATATCGCAGGAGGAATTTAAATTGTTGTGTCTAGAAACACAAGTATCCTGTTCTTTTTTCCCTGTATTTTTTATTTGTAATTGCTTATGTTCATTGTATTATTGTCAGAGTGTGAGTACTAATTTACCCAAAATTACCAACAACTGTAAGCTGTTAGACTGGGTTGGAACTGCAGAAGTTGCTGAAGGGCGTTTGATGCCAAGCGACCCGAAAGACCTCGTTCACCATGTACCCACGGGCCCAGGCCC